AAAAAAAAAAAAAAGATAAGGCAGTGGACATTCAGAGAAGGGAGGCCATGGCAGACGAGGCTCTCTGGAGAAGAAGAAAGGGTTTTTTGATTGTGAGGAAGAATGGGGGGCACTATTGATGACAATAGCAATGGAGCAGATTCCTAGAGGGCCTGGCTGCTCCAGACATTGACCTCCTAGAAACATGAGGAAAACCCAAGTGTTCTAGGGAAAGAGTCCTGGGCTTGGGTGGCAGGGGCACTCCTGAGCTGGGGCAGCAGCTGTTTTTCCATCTGTTTATGAGTAGTTCTGTGAAGCAAGGAGGCTGGCAGCGAGACCAGTCCAGCGGTTCAGGGCAGATGCAACAAGAGTAGCCTGGATCCTGGAGTAGCCAAAGGAATGAAGAGAAGGATACAGTGTTGACAGATGCTTCAGGCTTCCCCCTGCCAGGCTCTGGGAATGGGGCACAGGCATAAGCAAAACCAGATTTAGAAGGAACATGTGACTTCAGTCACAGAGAAGTGGAATTTGAGGCAGGGAAAGACATTAAGACCAGCAGGCAGTGGGAGATGGGCATGGACACTCTAGAGGCCAGGGTCAGAGACCATTTTAACAGTATATTACTAACAAAGATGACACTCTTGGCTGGGCATGGTAGCTCACACCTGTAATCCTAGCATTCTAGGACACTGAGATGGGTGGATTGCTTGAGCTCAAGAGTTCGAGATCAGCCTGAGCAAAAGCAAGACCCTGTCTCTACTAAAAATAGAAAAACTGAGTCAAGAGGATTGCTTGAACCCAAGAGTTGGAGGTTGCTGTGAGCTATGATACCACAGCACTCTACCCAGGGCAACGGCATGAAACTCTGACATCTCAAAAAAAAAAAAAAAAAACCACTTTTTTTGAGTGTATGGTGGACAGCATGCTAGGGATTTTACCTTTGTAAGGGGTTGGCAAATTATGGTCTGCAGGCTAAATCCAGCCTACCATCTCTTATATATGTTTTTTTTTTCCTAGACAGTCTCACCCTGTTGCCCTGGGTTGAATGCTGTGGCATCTTCATACCTTACACCAACCTCAAACTGTTGGGCTCAAGCAATCCTCATGCCTCAGTGTCCCAAGTTGCTGGGAGTACAGGTACCCATTACAAAGGCCAGCTAATTTTTTCTATTTTAGTAGAGACAGGGTTGTTCAGACTGATTTCAATCCCTGAGCTCAAGCAGTCTACCTGCCTCAGCCTCCCAGAGCGTTAGGATTACAGGTGTGAGCCACTGCGTCCAGCCCAGCCTATTATTTACTTTTTTTAGAGATAGGGTCTTGCTCTTTACCCAAGTTGGAGTGGAATGGTACAATCATAACTGACTATACCCTGGTGGAACTTCTGTGTTCAAGCGATCCTCCCAAGTAGCTAAGAATATAGGCACATGCCACCATGTCTAGCTAATTTTTTTTTTTTTTTGAGAGAGAGTCTCACTATGTCGCCCTCAGTAGAGTGCTGTGCCGTCACAGCTCACAGCAACTTCAAACTCTTGGGCTTAAAGCAATTCTCTTGCCTCAGCCTCCCAAGTAGCTGGGATTATAGGTGCTCACCACAACGTCCAGCTATTATTTTTGTTGTAGTTATCATTGTTGTTTAGCATGCCTGGATCAGGTTCGA